AAAAAAACTATTAATGTTAACAAGAAATGAGTTAGATGAGTTGGCTAACATATGTTTGGGAATAGTAATGGTTAAGGGTACACACACACACACATTATTAATAATGAGATGTGTAATTTATAATGTGTTTTCTATTCAAAATATTTTATCAAATTAATTATGTTTCATATTTTGCTATGAATATTTATATAAAGTTTCGATGTGTTTTATTTTTTGCTCATATCCAACAATATTTACAACTATATTTTTTAGGTAATTTTTTTTTAAAAAAAAATTATCTCTTTTGTTTTAATTTTTCGCCTTTACTGATGAAAATATTTTCTGAATCCGTCCCTACTTCTTCGCCCCCTCAACCGAATTTCTGGCTCCGTCCATGTATATTGCAGTGTGAACCCTGATACAAAAATTCTATATCTTCAGTTAACACATTCTGTACTAACAGTTAACCGTTTCTGTACATGTAAACAGATAACTTGATAATTGCTGACACATAATATGATAACTACATGCACAAAAACTATCAGCTACAGGTACAAAATGTGTCAACTAAAGATACAAAATCTGACTTGATAATTGCTGACACATAATATGATAGTTACATGTACAAAAACTATCAACTGCTGTTTTTTTGGACCAGGGTCTACAATGCAAGATAGACCCTGGTCCATGGTATAATTTCCCACTAAACGCACTTTAGTTTGTGTATACTTTTTTTGAGAAGATATATATATATATATATATATATATATATATATATATATATATATATATATATATATTTATGGTAAGTATGTTACCGGAAATATAATATTATAAGAATAACGATTGTTGTATTGCAAGTGTTTCAGTATAGCCATGTGTCTTCCTAGCTGAGGAGAGGTCCTATTTATATCAAGTCCTAACGGTAATGACATGATAAGACATAATGAGGAGCCATTATTTCTCTCTTCAATAGCACATTAAATGACCCTTGGTAACGTTCCACACAATAGTATTCTGCCCGTTGGGTTTCCATGTGGTGACGGGTCAGGTACCCGTTGACAACCCAGGTCGTGTGCTGGCACCATTACTCTGTCACCAGCCCCCCTACTCCCGAGTCTGGGATGTTCTTGAGCTGGCTTGGGAGTAAAATTGAATTACTTTGATACTACATGGAATTCTAGACAATCTAAAATATATGATTTTGTTTCCTAAATCATATATGATTGTAGTTTCCCAATCCTTCTCTGCTTCTAAAATATATGATGGCATTCTCCAAATCCTTTTTGCTTCTAAAATATTTACTTTACTTTTTTATCACGTACATCCATCCAATATAAACCTCAGCATTCAGAACAGTTTAGACACCTCTCAACCAGCTCTTACCACCAGTTCTATAAGTTTTTGCACTCTATTTTTATTATTACTTTTCTTTTCTTCTTTTTTTTTTTTCATTTTTTTATTTTTTTTACGCTTGGTCGAGTCAGGCTTTGGCCTGGGCCGGTTGAGGTGCATGCCTCGGCCGGCTGTGGCCAAGGTGTGCGCCTCGGCCGACTGTGGCCGAGGCGTGCGCCTCGGCCGATCGTAGCCAAGGCGCGCGCCACCTCGGCCAATTGCGGCCGAGACGGGCTTCGGCCTATTGTTTTTTTTTTTTTAATAACATGTATATTCGTATTTTTGTCTATGTTTTGGCAGGACAATCCTGTCCTCGAGTATTGCGGGCCAACTTGTAGACCAGGTTAGTGTCTCTCTTGATGGAAATCGTATATTCCATTGATGATGATGAATTTCCCTCTGTTGATGAGGAGTACCTTCAATGTGACTCTAGCTCTCCCATGTATGGGGATTTTCCCTCAGTTCCTTATGATGCTGATCCATCCGATTCATCAACGCCTAAAACTTGTCTGAAGAAAAAGAAAATGTGCAGGGCCTCGTACTCCCCTCTTGATAACTCTCTTGTCCTGTCCACGCGACCTCAACTGGAATCTCAAGATTAGGTGGACTTCAAAGGTCTCATTGGTCCCATTTCCTAGCCCTCCCTCCTGAGCTCGAGGCTAGTATTGCCAATCCCCCTCACGATAAGTATTTTGGGGTCCAACTTTTATCTTTGCAACTTGGGCTTCGATTTCCCCTTCATCGTTTCCTTGTAGAATTCCTGAATTATTACGAGATAGCTCCTGGCCAACTTGTCCCTAATGGCCACCAAGCCATTGCTGGATTTCTTTCAGTGTATCAGGAGAGAAAAATAGAACTCAATGTTGAAATAATCGCTAGGCGCCTGGGGACCGCCTAGGGCGCCTATAGTGTAACACCCCGTGTTACGACCCCTAAAACCAATTAATCATTTAACCAATTATCCAAAGAAAGAATTAAGTTATAATAATTGATTAGGGAAAAGGCCCACCATGGTCCGTGGGCCCTCACCCCTAAAACCCAACCCCTAACCCTAAAAGGAATAGAATTAGCAAGCCTATAATATTAGTTCCTAATTACGACTCCTAAATATATAAATAGGGGACTTAAGAGGCACCTAGAACCCCCCACCACAATAATCCCTCACCACACAAGAAGTTCCAAGAATTCCCCTAGGAGAAATCAAGAAAGAAGAAATTCTTCAAGAAAGACCCTTCATACCCAAGGAATAAATTAAGGCTAAAAGGTAACCCATGTCTCAACAAAACCTATTTTCATAGCTATGATTCTCCTCTTAGGATTTCCCCATATTATTGTGTATTGATGATTTGTGATATTATTATTGATGATTGGTGGGATGATTCCATGGGTGATGTTGATGATGAGAGGTTCTTGATAATTATGGTGTTCTTGATGATTATATGACGTTCTTGATGATTATATGGTGTTCTTGATGTTCTTAATGATTATATGATGTTCTTGATATTTATATGATATTCCTACCGAATCTTGATTTTAGAAGATGAATTGTGTTCTTGTTGATTTAAAAATAATTAGAACCCTAGGTTATATCGTGGAATTCGTATGGTATTATTCTTGGTATATTGGGTGGGAATTCACATGATTGGGTGTTGATTATGTTTAGAAAAGCATGATAGGTTATGTGTCGTATGTTTCTTGATTTTGATCCGTTAATTGTCTACGTGTGTTATCAATTGCGTTTGAAAGTGTCTAAGCATGGTTTCGGGTTCCACAAAGGTTCCCGGGGCGTTTTTGGTGAAAAAGAGTCAGTGGGGGGGGGGGGGTAGGTGGGGGTAGGGGACCCGCCACCTACCCACGGCCAAAAGAGGTCTCGCCGGCAGCGGGCAGTTGCCCGCCGGGCACCCGCTGCCCAGAACAGTGCCGCCGGCAGTAGCCGGCGGATGACCCCTCACCCACCGGCTACCCGCTGGTTTGTACCCCACCTTGGGATTTTGGCTTCCCCGTTTGAGGTTCCCCCGACCCCCTTGGTGTCCCAACGGACTCCGTCTATCGTGCCTATGTCTAGTTTGGTATTTCGGGTACCATTCGTAGGTTGTATGAGTCATATATATTGCATGCTAGTTGAATTGGTATCCCGTTGACCTAGGTAAACGAAGTATGAACCCCTTAGGATTATTCTTAGTATGTGAAGGATCACACATAGGTTTTGTTATACGTTTTCTCCCCCTTCCCAATGTGTTAATGTGGGTTGCATGTGCTTGCTATGTGTTATGTGTGCATGATACCCCAATCCGGTTGCGATCGGATTGGTTATTCCTGAGCTGCGGTTCAGAAGCTGGCTGCGGTCAGATTTACACTCTTGGGCTGCGGTCCACCGTTTGGTTGCGATCAAACGTTTCTACATGAACTGCGGTTCATATTTCCTGGTTGCGGTCATATGACATACTCTTGGGCTGCGGTCCACTGTTTGGTTGCGATCAAACTATGATGAGCTGCGGTTCATCGGTCGGTTGCGATCGACCCCTCCGTGTTGCGATACAGGGCAGGGTGTTGCGGGGCCGTGTCAGAGCTATTGCGCTGACCCTCATGTATGGGCATGCGATTGGTCCTGTGGCGCCAACAAAGTGTGCTATGTGATGAAATATGGATGAGTTGTTGTTATGAGTGTCTTGGGGATGTGACTATGGGATCTATACTGAGAATCGTATATGTTGGGTTATGATTATTAATTGTGCTTATCTTTACCTGTCTTGCCTGTTGTAAACTGTACATGCTTGGTATAACTGTTGTCTGTGCTTAGCTCTATCTGTCGAGTCTATCCTTGTTTTAAAAGCTAGAGTCTCGTAGGATATATCTTCATGCTTCAAAATGGTTTTCGTATATCTATATATATATATGTCTATATGTATTGTATTTCAACGCGTTGGAGTGGGTTACCAGCATCTCTCGCTGAACAGATATATTTGGCTTTCAGGCACAGACGAGTAGATCACTGGAGCGCGCTAGAAGCTTGGGGCGTAGCTTAGATAGTTTTCCCTTTCGGCCTGCGTGCCATGATTTAGTATTGATACTGATTGAGGTTTTAGAATTTAGCCTGTGCACCTAAGTTCTCTAGCTCGGGTGTGGCATAGCACCCCGTACTCTTTGTATCGTATTTTGGGATTTAATGAGATTCTATCTTTATTATATAAGTTTTAAAAGTCTTGAAAATCTGGGGTGTTACATATAGCGCCTAGGCAGGCGCCTAGAACGCCTAGGCGGGCGCCTAGAATGCCTTGGCGGGCGCCTAGAACGCCTAGCCGGGCGCCTAGAACGCCTAGCCGGGCGCCTAGAGCCTAGGCGCGATTTTTGCAACACTGATAGAACCCATGTTGAGTCTTTTCCAAGCTATGTTCGTAGTCGGTAGACATCTAGAGAAGCCAAGGGATTCGTTATCATTTCTAGTAGGCCGCACCAGAAAGTTTTTGAAGACCGCTCTTCTTACAATAAGGACTGGAAGCCCAAGTTCTTTTTTGTTTCGGTTGTTGGTTCTCCGCCCCTCCAGGTTAAGTGGGGATCGCAGCTACGTTGCCCCCCCCCCCCCCCACATGGATAGGAGTCTGTCTGTTAGCCGTGCTGTAAATGAGCTGTTGAGGGATGGTTCCTTAAAGATTGTTGATTACACCACTGAGTGGAAGCTTGCAAGTTTGGGTTTTGTGAGGGGTCAACTGGCTGCTCTTGCACCTACGGGTACTCTTCTGTTGCCTCCCGGCTATACGTGTTGATAACTAACTCTAACTTTTTTCCCTTTGCTGCAGGTGGCATGACTTCGAGAACCGATCGGTACATGTCGCGGTCCCAACAGCACCCAGCCTAGAAGAGTAAGACTGAGAATAGTACGGCTGACAATTCTCGTGGGAAGGGGAGCCAGGCCGTGGCTGTCGAGGAGGTGAGGATGCCGCCCCCACCGACTGCAACTCCTGCCCCGTCGGAGGCCGTTAGTCCTACCCCACCCAAGGCCGTCGCCCCGTCTCCCCAGCCCCCCGAGCTGGGAGAAGCTTCTACGGGCCAGAGTTCACGTGTCCGGACCAATTTGATCCAGCTGGGGGCGGATGTGCTTCCAGGAGAGTCCATAATAAATAGTAGTTTGAGTGCGGTTGAGTATGCCTCTTGCATTGCGCCTCCTGCTGATGTTGATTACCTTGCTGCCATGGATGTGAATTTACTGCAAGAGCGGTATCTTCGACACATTTTTTAGGTTAGTTGTCTCCACTCTAGGTTGAGTCTTCCTTGTTTTGGCATATCTCACTTTGTGCAGTATTGCAGGCTATGCTGGAGGGACAAGTCATTCATGCCCAGCGCCTACGAGTGACAGACGCACTTGTCGAGGATGTTAAAAGCCTTAGCGCGGACAATAAAAGCCTTAAGGACCTGCTGCTGGCCCGGGAAGGAGCTCTGAGCAATATGGAAGGCAAGCTCGGGATACTAAGGAAGGATGTAACACTTCACTTTTTCTAAATCTTAATTACAATTCTAAACCACAATTAACATAAACTAAGTATCGGATAAACAACTTAATAAGTAAACTAGTGGGAATGTCACCGCCACAACCACCACTCCGTGGTGATTGCACAGGCTAAGGATGGAACTAGAAATAAAACAAATAACTAACATCCATAAAACTAAATTAAAAAAACATAAAGGGGAAAAACACACCCGGATGTCTACATCATCAATCGTCATCAAAACAACATAAGTCTATAAATCCGACAAATAACATCATGATAAAAGACTATGAGTTCAGACTACTAGAGATACTAGACTAGTCTAACTCGATCACCTCTCAACGATGGGCCCACCTGAAAGGGGTTTTACAAACAACACATAGACAAATAGGAAAACACATGTTAGCACAAAGCTAAGTATAACCACACTCAACCCTGTAAAGTACTATAGAATATTCCTTGGAAAAAACATTTGTTCACATACTAAGTCAAACAATCTCAACACATAAACAACTGTAGATACCACACAGACTTTCTATATGCTTGCAACCTATAATATCAACAGGCATGCTTCAATATAAATAACTCATCAACATGAATATATCAACACATATTTCTCATAACGAAACTCTTAATAACGAACTCATATTGTCAATCACTTACATACTAACGACTAGTACGAAATAATCGTCATGCTTTCAAGATCTCAAGTTGCAAAATAGATATATAAGACATCAAAATGCAACTAAAGGAATCATGCTAAATATACAATCTCGGTCAATCATTCTCACATGCAATCTAGTGCAATACTATACTAAAATGCAATATCGTGCAAACATTCTCATTATGCAATCTCATGCAAACATTCTCAATATGCAATCTCGTGCAACTATAAGTATACTCATACACTCGTTTGTAAAAAAGAAAACTTTTCCGTGGAGGTTTCTTAGAGTCGCAATGACTCGCTTTCTTTCTCTTGAGTCTCTTGACTCGATTTCTTTCTTGCTCAAACTTTCTCATACTTCTCATTTCTCTTCTTGTGCGAGGCAGGTACTTCGCCGAAGCGAAGCCCTAGCGTACGGTGCAATCTCGTGTATTCGCCACATCCGTAACTACGGAACCTCTAACTCGTGGGGAGGTAGGTCTTCACGAATCGTGAATGGACCTAACCGGCTCGGCAATCTAGACGGCCACATACTCAACTCGCCCACATAACCACTCTCTTGGTTCTATGCTCAAACTCTGTGGAATCAGGTATCGAACTTTTAGCGTGCACACCCCCAGACCAGGATTCCAACCTTGGGGGGCAATTTCAAACCTCTTAACGTGGGAATACACCGCGTTACATGTACTGGGACCGCAATGTCCATAACAAATCATCCGAGAGGACATAGTCCAAACGGGTCCTCCAAAACAAGGTTTCCTCACCATAGATATATATAGATATATCGCTCATGCATTTCATAAATGTAATACTTAACTTTTGCAAATGACATGCACATACTTCTCAATTTATTCTCAAAGATAAGATAAAGATGCTCTACGTGGAATGAGATTTTCTTTGGAAATAATACTTAGGCTCATATTGGCCACTTATGCATTTTTGAAACATGATATACATGGAATGCCAAATACTAAACAACATGCTTCCAATTCATATAAATAGGTCATAAAGGTTTCAAGAATACAATATCATGCTCGGTTTGCAATATGTCAAATTCTATATATTTCTAACATCAAATTATACTCCAAATCCCATTTATCAAGCAACACATTCTAATCATGCTCTTCTAATAAATATTACTCTCTAAGTGATCATCCTTCTCTACTCAACACATAAATAATCATCAGGGCAACAAAGCTAGACATTTTCTCATTACAGTGAACTTCAACACACATACTCTGAAGTAAAAACATCAATAAATCCTTCATAACATGCTCATTTCTAATCCAAATTCAACAAAATCAAAGCCAAAACGTGCGTCGAGTCGACCCCGAGGTATCGAGCCATAAGGGCCCGTGACACCTAGCCCGGAACGACACGTAGCTGAGCCACAAGGGCCCGGTTACTGCACAGAACATACTAAGAACATACTCAGGGACTAGGGGTGGGGCTCCTCATGAGCTGCCCCCAGAAAGCCGTAACATAGTCGGGCCTAGGCAACGGCCCTCTCCTAAGGCCGTGCCCTAGGCCCGGTTGGCCCCTGCTTCAGCCGGCGGTCCCCTTGATGGGCCGCGGCTAGGGTCGCACAGTGTGCACCAGATGATTCATTTCATTTGCAAAAACACTTTCAAGCAAGTCCAAAACATTCCAAACATTACCAACACATCATAAACAAGTAATAGGTCACTTCCTAGATCAAACACAACAAAATCCAACATTTCTACTCATTTCTATTCAAAATCTAGGCTTCACAGAGCCAAAATGAAGAGGGAGTCCATGGGGTTATACCTTTGTTGCCTCTTCTTCTTGTTCTTCTTCCTTGTGTGAATCTCAGCATCCACTCTTCTCATACACCACTACATCATCACCTAGACACCTCAAACAACATCACAAGCCAAGCTTAAACAAACCTCAGAGATTGAAAGCTAAGAGAGAAGGGAACCTTAGTATGGAAAATGAATGGAGGAGATGAATGCTAATACTTACTGTTTTGGCAGCCAAGAGCTTGAGGGGCAACAAGGAAGGGATCAAGAGAACACAATGAAGCTAAAGAGGAATTTTATAGGGTCCAAAACCCCAGGAGAAGTGCTCATGATTGGAGGAGGGCAAAAGGGTAAATTGGCTTGTTTCTAGCAAAGATCAGACGAAGGGGTTGGAGGGTTGTAGTCTACCAAGCTTCATGGACCAAAGTCTAGAAATGTGGTTTTAAATAGTTTAGGGGTCAAAATGGATTTATCCAAAGATGATTTCTAAACAAACACTTGGTTCAGATTTCTCCCGGTCTCACTCAGATTGGTTTCTCAATTTAAAACTTGGTACGCGATGTACCCGAAAATTTAAGGATTTTGGATTAAAAATAAGTTTTGGTGTTGAATTAATTTAAAATGTGTTCAAAATAATTTATTCAAACACCAATTGATCGCAAAAACATTTAATGGAGTAAAAATGGCTATTTTGGAATTTCTTAAAATTGGATTTTTGAAATAAAATTTTGGGTTGTTACAAAGGAACACGAAACACTTACAGTTGCTTTGAGGAAGGAGCAGGAAGCGTTGAAGAAGGAGCAGGAGGATCATGAGAAGACTCGCGTTGCCCATGCCGCTGCCCTTTGCAAGGCGGGAGAGATTTATAAGCGGTCCACCAAGTATAAGGAGGATGTGGTGAGCTACATGAGCAACCCTGAAGCTGTTCGTGAATTCTTCAAGACTAAAGCTGGCCGGGAAGCGATCGAAGCCGAGGCTCAAGTAGCTTTCGTGGTTGGGATGTAGGCAAAACAACAACAAATATTCCCAGTGCTGCGCGAAAAGATTCTAGTTTTCGATCCAGTTGTCTTTGCCTTGCCTGTTATAGAAGAAAATCATGATCCTGATGCCAAGAATGATGCAATTGAAAGCCTTACTATCGAGAATGATGCTACTCGTGAGTGTACCCCTCTAGACGAGTTCCTTGGTGTCAACATCAGTGGCGTTCCCTTTACTCCTCTTGAGTAGATTGTGATCGAGGATCTTACGGACAAGGAGTAGTCCCTTTCTTTAGCTTGCTGGGAATAATGTTACAATCATCCTCTTTGTAATTTTGCATTTCCTCAATTTAAGGATATTAACGGACTTAAATGACTGATAGATTAGATTGACAGAGTCAACGATGATATCAGTCAGTTAGATCGATAGCTGATATGATAGCAGAAAGAGAACTAAGGCAGGCAGCAAAGAAACAACACACAAGATGTTTACCCAGTTCGATACAGTGTGTATCTACATCTGGGGGACGATCACAGAAGCGTCCAATCCACTAACTCATAATCCAATGTACAAAGGTAGAGAAACAATAATCTCACCCAAGTGCCCCACACAAGGTACGTACCCAGTCTACACAGATTTAGTGGATTGTTGAAGTTGGAGAGCCGTGCATACAGAAGTCCAATGAAACCCCTTCACTTGGAGAGCTAACTCTGATGCAGTCCACTTCAGTGACGCAGTCCAAAGTTGTTCC